CGAATCGCGACAATGCGTTTTTCTCTCTTCGCCTGGATCCAACCCATCGAAAAATCTGGTTTGAAACGCCGCAATCAAGCGTACATAGAGGATGCCGGCGGGGCGAGACGGGCGCCGTTTCCCGCGGTTCAAGTGATTTTTCGCCGTGCCGGCATTCTCCGGGCGGCTTTTCCCGCGCTGATCCGGCCGGAAAAGCGAGAGGGGGAGACGCCGCGCGGCGGGAGAGAAACGATTGTCCCCGAGGGAATATAACAATTATGTTTGCGTCGTTAGATATAGAGAATCCACGGTATTGAAACGTAGCGCCATTGAAAGCGCTGAATGTGGTCATCATGCAGAGATTGAAAGACTCCTCTAAGAGTACAGTGGCGTACGCCTGAACAATCTCCTACGATCTCTCTTATACTCTCAACCTTTATAAGAATAGTGAGATACTCTGCGGAGCCACCCGGTGTAGATTCAGCATTATTTTATATTGCGTATAACAAACATTCGTTCGATATATATACGTCATCGTTTCCACGGCTTTTCCGGCCGTTGGGAAACTTTTGACAAGCGAAACAAAACGACGGAACGGGCCCCGATTAACTTTGTCCTTTGGCATTGCCAACAACTGAAAATTAAATTCCACTATAACGAGGTTCGCCTTTTGTACATCTCGCTGAGCGAAAGTATTTTAATTATTTTAGTTTTCGGGCGGGTATTACCTAGCTTTCCGGTGCAGGTAAAAGGGGAAATGTTCCGATGGAAATCGCCAATGGGTTTGGAAATGGAAACTCGTTGATTTAGATAAGGAACTGAAATTTATGTGGCTATTTACTTTATACCGATCGCTGATTGGAGTGTGGGTATTTTATACATTAGAGAAATCTGAAATTTCCTTTTTATTTGTGTATACAGGGTGTTTATGAAGTACTTTAGAGAGACATTTTGAGATGAAGAAGTGTGTTAATATGAAAGTTTATTCGAGTACTTAATAAACACTCTGTATATCGTTATTTGATATTATGTTTAATGCTAACGAGTTTCGATTTTATTGAATTTCTGGAAGTTCGTTCGACCGAAAGCGAAATCGTTAATGTAGCATTTTATTTCACTGCAATTAGCAATTAGCAATTACAAGTTTTCTGCTAATGAAACCTTATACCGTACATCTATCAACACCTCCGCATTAATTAGACGTTTGCTAGATATTCCGTGTACTGGAGACGTTGTAAAACCGGTTTTTTTTTTCTCTTATCGGAGAAACTCAAAAATTTAATGCAGTAAGAGATATTAAAACGCGATATGGCCGGTATTAATTTAGCATTTAATGTGTGTCGATGCGTCGAGTTTTTGCTGGTTTATTTAGTTATTTCTATTTTTCCAATAGATAAAAACCGTTTAAAATCGCATGAAACAAATATCCTCGTAAATAATCGGATTTTATCGAGTAACTTAATAAATGAGTTACAAAAATCGGTGCATAAATACCATGCAACATCTGCAAATATGAGACAAGTTATATAATAAATGAAGAAATATGAGGAACTAGAAAAGTAGGAAAAGAACGAAAAGAATTCTCGTGCGCGTTGCTCGCGACTTTCGAGTCAATAAAAAAAGTAACAATGAACACAGGAATATCTTTTGTGTAAATTTCGATGCGCTTTTAAAGTCCTCCATCGTCCTACCAAAGTAAGAAAGATCGGCTTAGCATCCGCTTGTGGAGTTAATACCTATGGAAAACTCCTCAGTAGCGCCATCAGTTCCAGAACTCCATTCGTATCCAGTTCAATCCCTTAACTATCACTAGATAAATGAATATATTCAGCTTTCATAGATAAATAATAACGCAGAAATTGTTCTGGATATTGATAATACGAATTACTGAATGAGTGTAAAATGGAATCGTAAAATTTGATGGTAAAATTTGGATTCGTGTACGCCTTTGACCGTCGCGGGATTTTCCGCCTTTTTCGCGTTTTCCTCTTTACTTAAAGTATTTGTTCTTCGGCGGAGCGCCGGCTCCAGAGCAGGAGAAACTCCGGCGTACGCCCGACAAGTGCTCACAGATGAAGCGTTTTCGTCGGGAGGATTTGGAATCCACTTAACAGCTTAAAATGGCGGCGCGCGGTGGCCGAAGAACTTAACAAACATCCAGTCTCTCCTCATCCCCCGGCCTATTTGCATATACGACCGCAAGGGGAACGTGTTGCGTTCGGATTTGTACCGGGGGCGGCGAAAATTTCGCGCCTTTTCTGCCGCAATTTGGCAACATTCCCCAAAACAGTTAGCTAGTTAAATCTTAATTCCCAATATTTCGTTTTATTCATATTTTGATGTACGAATAATGTAAGCTTGGTATGGAAAACAGAATCGTAGCGTTTGGGAAATAAAATTTAATAAAAATATCCCTTTTATAGGGATATCCCATAAACGTCAGCGACAGGCGAAATTCGACATGTTCGAAATGCTTCTATTTAATGGAAATATATCGGATATTCGTAAATACTTATGTAAATCCGCGATATTTGGCGATCGCACGTATTGGTCACTGCGTTTGAAATTTTCCATATAACTGTATAAATTGTTACAATACCGGCGTTATTGACATATCCAGATAATCGGGATCAGTTGCAGATTTTATTATTTTGTTTCGAGTCCACTCTGGAGCACCCGCAATAATATTTTCTATTCCTTATTACGCGGTAAAGTTGATAAAATGTAGACTTTAGAGTAGGTACCTAATAAATCTCTATTTTTTTAACATCTGCAAACATAAGAAATCGATTATTATGTTTAAGACAACTGTACATATTTTCGGCGTAATTTCCGCGCAATTAAAAATCCGCTAATTAATAAGTCTTTAGCGTTGTCGTAAAATTATTAGCGGACGATGTGGAGACGGTTTTAAAACCGGCGCGGGTCGTTTAACAAACGGGTCCATATTTCAACGTCCACGCGTAGAGAGTGGCTCCCTCTACGACATTACGTTCTGGGGAAACGAATTATGACAGGAAGCCGGGAGTTGTTAATGTTCGTTAGCACCAAGACATGAAAGGGATGGATCTATACGAGGGTAATTCGTTAATGCGTCGGTTAATAATCGATCGACCCTCGTATACTGCTTATATGTACGAGAGCCGCACGATAGTTTGTTGCGGTTTCTCGAAGCACAAACAGTGACAATTAGAGCCGGCGATCTGTAATTACCCATTAATTACGGTTTCTGTTCCCACTGTACAAAATGGTCGATAATTGTTAAGAAAGCGCTTAAATAAATTACGATTAATTACGCCGAATTGACAAAATAATTACCGATATTCGGTATCGTTTCGTCCGGGAATATTTATAGTGGCGATAAAAAGAGAAGAGAGCCGGGTTACTAACCTGACTGATTGGCCTCTTCCGAATAATTGCCACAGCTGTACTTCGCAATAACATATATTAAAAAAATCGAGGCATTTTTATACGAATTCGCGTCCCATAAACGACCCCCTAATCCGTTTTGTAACCGATCGGGGGCTCGCAACAAAGCGCGCCTTCGGTTTTTGACAGATAACTCTTTTATGCGTCCCCGAAGTCGCGAGAAGAGGATAACTTTACACCGAGGGGTCGTCCATTTGCGATCAGATAATGCCTATGTGAACGCTCGGTGCATACATTTCATGTTCTACATGATCCGGGTCAAAATTGAGTGACAACCCGGCCGGAGAGCGCGGGGACAATCTGTATATACACGAACAGCGCGAGGGAATGTGGCTTTTGTCCGGGAATCAATAAGGGAGGATGCGGATTATGTTTTGTGTTCGGATATAAGCAAATCGTTAAGAGATTGTTAAGCTGGGTGATATGTTTACCATGTACTGTAGTTTGTTGAGTCATCTTTGTACTACACCAAATGCTACTTGAATTAGTATTTGATACATTTTAAATATCTCTCTATAATTTTACTATAGTAAATGATTATCTGTGCGGAATAATCGACCCCTATAAGGAATTGTTAAGCAATTGTTCGTCGATAGAATTTCCTCGTTAGTTCGAAGAAAGTATCGAATGGCCTATGTAAATTAATACGTTTTATGCAATTAACGGACGTAGGAATAATTCGATTAAAAGAAAATAGAAGAAAATTAAAAACTGCACGCTATAATAGAGCTCGACGACGGGTTTTATTATAAACCTTTATTAACGGGTTTTATTAAGATTTAGTGCTATTTTAGTACTAATATAGTGTTCATTTCCTGATTTAGTGCTTAACTGGTTGAACAAAAAATTGCTTTTCAATATGGAGGTTTTCAATATCAAAATATAATATCAAAAGTTATAACAATATATCATAATGTATGAATTTTTCTATATTTTTTATGATAGTGGTGCTACATTCACGCAGGTTTATCATTATGCATAAAGCCCACTTCTCGGTGTAATTTTTTTATTTCTTTCTCTTTTAAACTTTTTACGGCTGCTTCGAGTAATTTATTATTTATTACTTACGTTCGTCCGGAGCAAACAAACGTCTTCATTACCGCGGCGCTTTCGCCACCTGGTGCTTTTCAAGTAGAAGGAGCTAATAAGGGATGGTAAGTAGCTCGAGAAAAGAACATTCGACCATTGTTGGGGCCACCCGACTTTTTCGAATACGAAATCGACGATACTCTTGTTACACGTCTTTGTTATCGAGGTCTTTCATTGCGAAAGAGCAGAGGCTGCTGCTGTGCGGGATTAAGTCGTAATATAATGCGGATTTTTCGAGTATGTTGCGATGGAATTTGGGTAATGGACCGTGCGAATGGACGCTTAGTTACCTCATCGTTAATACCTACGCTAAAAGTAATTTCATTTCTACCTGATCCGGTCTGTATACAATCCTGAAAATTCAGTTTTACATGCAAAAAAACCAACTTCAAGTCTAATCTAACCGAGGCAAGTACGATGGAACTCGCGTAAAGCGCCGTACGGGAGGCGCATTTGCCTCGGCCTCGGCGGGTTTCCAGCCAGGCGCAATCCACCGCGGCGTTTCAGCCGTTTCAATCCAACCGAGCGGCTTTCAGTTTTCTTTCAGTCCGCTCGCAACGTTTGCTCGGTGAGCCCGCGTCGATCGGAGATCCGACCCTCGTCGAACGTGTCTTGTTTTGCGATCTTCGTATATAAATTGTTAGTTTTTGGAATTTCAAAGCGCGATTTTACTGGATTTTCGTACAGTGCTTGCGTTGTGATTCGATTGTTACGAATGCTGTAGAGTACTTTTTGAGTTTTTTTTTTTGGATATCCCGGAGCTGGTAGATTCGATTAAAGGTGAGCTTTAAGTGGAACATCTCATAAACCAAATGCATATAACACTTTTAAAACTAAAAGAAATATAATTTATTGATACTTACTTATTAAAACAATTCCCTTAAAAACACACAATGAAGCAAAAATGTTATATAGGTTCCCTTTTGAACCGCCTTAGTGAAAAAGCTTGCATAATATTCAAATAGCTCGTTGGAAGTTATATCCAACTTAACTCGCGAATTTTCTGGTGAGTTTTCTTTGATGTAAAAAATTGTAGCGACGATCTATTAAGTCGAGCAGTCGTTGTATTTAAATAAAATCCTCGTTAAAATTTTCATTAGCGGCTCCCTCGGTATGATAATTAAAAATTTTCATCTTTTATGAGGTCGAAAAGTGGTGTTCTTCCGACGAAACTTTTAAATGCTTTTTTTGTGGGATCGGTAGTGGAAAGATGAGGAACAAACTAATATAGTTTTAGCGGTGAAAGAGAATTAAATGCGATTTTTATTCGATAGAATTATCTCATTATTCATTGGGTTTGGTATTGAACACATTTTACAGATCGAATTTCTTTTTGATTGACCGTTCAGGAACATCACCTTACATAAACATTATACTTATATCGCTATAAAAAAGGATAATATTGATTGATAAAGCCCGACTGAATCATCTAAGCCTAATCGCTCGGTCGAAAAAAAAATATATTTATTTTACCGGGATTATCATTAGCTCGAGCAGTTAATTGTGGCCCTTTTTTCCTAAGTTCTTTCGAGAACTTTCCCGTATAGCTTCCCATTACATCTCGTTTACGTCTACCCGAAGTCGAGTTAGTTCCCCGCTTTAAATCTAATGAATAATAAAAGTTTCCGTTACTTTTTCCATCGGCGAGAAAAAGTTTTATTCCCACAACGATTCCTATAGCCGGATTATCCGCCCGTGCAGTTTGTTATAAGTAGGAATTGTTGTTTTCTAATTACGGTTTCAATCCGCTTTATTGCAGATCCTCCTCTAATAAAGTAATAAATATTTATTATATCGACTACTGCTAATAGATAGCACTTTAGTTGGTTATCTTGCTCATTTTATTGTTCATTGTAAAATACTGATTAAGTGAAACAAATATTACAATTGAAGAAATAAATGTAGGATCTATTAGAAATGAACAAATTCCTGTTTCTCGGATTTCATTCGAATTTAATTATATCGAAATTACGAGGTACTCGAGATTTGTAAGGAAATCAAAAGAGCGGATAAATAATAAAAAAAATCCGGCCCTCTTTGTACACATCTTTTTATTCCCGATATCTCCGCCTAATTGAAACAAAATTGAATTCTTCTACTTCTACCTACGAGGAAAAAAGCAATTGCTTTCCACCGAATATACGGCCCGTTTCTTCCGGCCGATGTTCATTAAATCGAATATCTAATCGCGTCCAATAAAGAAGCATAAAGAACACTCCGAGCCGTCTGCAATAAAATAATTACCCTCGCCCAATTGTTTAATTAAACTCTAATTCAATTAAGAACAATGGAAGAATTGCGGCGGACGGTTCTTTTTCCTCGTTAACGGATCGAACGAAAGCTCCGGATCGCTCGAGCGCGAGCTTTTTTAAACGGCCGGTAAAAATTTTCCTTTCTCACGGTTAAACGGGCGAGCGTTTGACGTTTGAGGGAAGCCAATTAATCGCATTCGAAAAGAACGGTGTTTATTTCGAAGTGAATCGGGTCATTCGAGCAATTCACGATCGAAGAAGAGAAATTCGACGAGGTTATCTAAGGGCACGTCGGGTGGAAATTCTCGATGCGCCCGATGAGAAAGAGCAATTTAATAGTCATGTAGAAGAGTGGCTTATCAAAAAATCTCATCGTACAGTGTGTCCCACTGTTAAGGGTGCGTGATTAAGGGTTGCTCGTACTCACCCTCGATCGACTTCTATCTGAAAGTATCGTCTTTTTTTGTTCGAAAAAGCTGCTTTTCGACCATCATCCTTTCCCGGAATAAATCTCATCAGTCATTCAAACGGCCGAGGCATCCCTCATAAACGAATAACGCCCTTTTCGCTCTATCGGCCCTTTTGCATAACCTGATTGAGGACGATCTTCGAGACGGGCGAAAGAAAGAAAAGAGCGGAATCGAGGGTATACGCAAGGCATATGGTCATTCGAGATATCGCAAAGGGCCCTGTCTTAGCTGACCCACTTAAAGACCGCAGGGCTAATTAGCCCTTCGAGGGAATCCGAGGGTCTTTGAAAACTGAAATGAGGTAGTCGAAATTAAAATTCTACTACGAGGGAACGTCGTTAATACGAGTCCAGGATCTATATTATTACTCCTAAAATAAGCAAAATGTTTTTTCATACTTTTAATAAGTATTTTGTCTCATGCAAAGTACGGGATCAACATAATAAAAACTAAAATAAGGAAGTAGTATGTTTGAAAAATGTTTGTTACGAGGTGAAGTCAACAAGTATAATCGTTATTTCACCCTCTTATAGAAGCGAGTCCAGGATTCTGCGTTTAAATGCGAACTTTAACATACTGTTTTACCTTCCAATTACCGCTTTTCCGAAGGTCTTTATCCCGTTCGAATTTTCCGAAACGGAATAAAACGAAAACATCGACTCTCGATTTAACGAACGTTCGAGCAAAAGCCATTGTACAAGTAATCGAGCTATTAATTTGTGGATTTTGCCCGTCTTTTTTGCCGATCCGGCGATCCGGCGGAAAATGCATAGCTAAGTAAAGAAACGAAAAAAAAGCGCGGATTGGGAACAAATGACATGGGAAAGCTGAAAATCGGGCGTTCGGGTCCATCGGACGGGAAATCGAGCGGCAGAGGATTAATTTCGAGGATGTTGGTGGAATTAAGTGGGAAATTTAAAATAATTTTGATTTAATCGATACCCCGTTTTTGGTTTGATTTTAATTTAATTTCCTTGGATATTGATAAATTTTGGTGCAAATCGTAACTCTACGATAATTTCTATTAACTTGTTGTTTACGAATTTTCTACCGAAATCGATTGATTTCTCTATTACAGTAAATATTGAGTAATTGGCAATTATGATAAAACGATATAAAAACAATTAAATTAAGACCACCATCATAGTTTCTATAATAGCAGATCATTTAACGAATTACACAAATATTTAAGCGCCTATTAAGTATCCCTTTATGGAGGGATACTATCATAAAAATAATTTAATTTCACCCTAAAAGATGTACTAAAAATAGAACTTACATTACTTATATGATGGAATTAATGTTTTTTAATGCTTTTATTTTATATATTTATTTTGCCGCAAAATTTCATTTAAAATATTTCACCATCAACAATAATTTTAACCTCTATTTACCCAACAAAAATCCGGTATATAAAATATCGAAGAACAAATACCCTTCGGTGGAAATATTGTTTTTATTTCGACATGCTCGGAACGCTGCATAAAATAAATTAATATCTGGCGTATTAGCGGATTCGATCATTTTCATGAAAAACGACCGTGAAACGAGTTAGCGAGAATTTACAATTTACAAGCTTGTTATCGAGCTGTTAAAGCGGCCGCAAATATTTAAGATCATTATGTTGAATTGGATTAAAATTTTTTATTTTCGCTTTTTTCCCCGCGCATATAAACTGCTCCACAAAAGTTAAGGAGGTTCGCAAATTTTCCGATTATTTTAAAAGTTTTTCATCACCAAATTTTCAAATATGCGAAATTAAATGTTTTCTTTCATATCTGAGTGAATTTTTTGTCCGTACCTCTACAACTCATACTAAATTTGGCGATCAAAAAACCTGTAACTTTTAAATTAATCGCAATATTTGTGAACTTCCTTAACTTTTGTGGAGCAGTATATTCGCTCAAATGTGAGTTGTGGCCTCTTTCACCTCGTTCGCAATACATTATCTCTCGTTTATTTTATTGAGACATCAATGCTATCTGTCGTTGTAATTTTTAGTATTAAGGTAACTAGTAGATTTTTTATTTTGTTTCTTATTTTATTTCTATATTTACCAAAAGGAGTTTCTTTTTTGGTAGAGTTAAAATTATCCATATGTTTCTATAGTATATCAAAAAATTAGTTAGTTTCAACGAAACTTTTCGGAATACTATACATAGTAAAATCGAAACATCAGTTAACTCTAAATCCCGTGTTGTCGTCAATTACGTACCGTCGACAAGTTTACAACTAGCTGACAAATGTTTCTATAAATTTTGATTATAATTGGTCGTTGTCGCCGCCTCGGGAGTTTCCCTGTTTCGGGCGAAACTCCGGAGCGCCGAATCGAATAGTTTCCGCTACGATGAAATTAAAAACGTTTATTCGTACGCGATTACCGTCGTTTCGCGTGTCCGACCGCCTCCGATAAGGGCGTTATAAATTGATACAGATATAGTGAAATTAACGAACTACCCACTTGGCCGCTTTTCGCGATAATTAGCCGGGCTAGAGGTGTTGGCGCAACAATAGTAGGAAAAAATGCTACACGCGCTGCTGATACGGATCGACGCCTTGGCGTGACCGATTTATCAAAACATGACTAATGAAAACCATGCAGGAAGTTCACAACAAGGAAACTGTCTGTATAAATCTTGTCTCGAAACAACCTGGATATATTGCGTTTTGTGTAGTAGGTACTTCGACTACTATCTCAACAATAACACATAGCTTTTACTGTTTATTGGTCATTTAAAAATTCAGCGATTTCCTTTTCCTAAAGAACTATTCCCTGGTTATTGGATTGGGTTCCCTGGTTATTCTTTCGTTAAAGGATACATTAGCAACTACAAAGTAGCAATTACAATTCCTCCGAATCAACCACACTATGCATATGCATACAATACACACAGTAAGCACTAGTACTGGGTGTATTGAACTTCGAGAGCGCCGGTTTAAAATTATTACATTTAATCTCAAAACCGCACAATGCAATTACTTCCGCGTTGCGCCGCTCCGCGACGACCGTTTTCCTACTTTTACTTATTAAAATGCCCCACCTTATAGCGCTCGAAAACAATCGCCCGATCGGACTTCTAAACGACTGTCGCAAATGGCTTCTGTAATTTTTCAACTTCTGAAATCGCCGACGGCGCGACATTCATCATTCCGCGCTTTTTTTTCTTATTCGCTCGTTTTAGAATCGCTCGGACTCGAAGACAACTCTAAATTGAACCGACCGTAAAACATTGTGTGCGTACAGAGCCTGCCGGCGATAAATATTAATCGAACTATCTGCTATAGAGCGTACTAAATGCAAGAATAAGTATGCACGTTGCAAATACTCCACTTTTATTAATAGATGCTATAATAAAAAAACATATACAGAGTGACACGGCAGTATAGAGAAGCTCAATATGTACACCTAAATTAACATTTTAAACAGCAATACACCTTTAAAATAGTAACAAAACACCCAAAAGAACATTGTATTATGTAAATAAATAAATAGTCTCTGTAAATTTTCCCCAATTAATTACTTTAATGAAGAATCTGAATCTTTTTTGTAACACCAGTACCTACCTAAATCCCTCAAACAACTTTATTTGCGCTTTATCTAATCACACATTGTGCTCGGTACGATTTTTTTTTTGTTCCGTTTGTTCTTCTTATCCGGCCGTCCATTATTCGGAATCGGGCGTGACATTTTTATAATGCACGCGCGTTGTTTGGATAGATTAAAAATTTCACGTTCGAAATTTTTATTCGGGCCGCTCGGTAGATTTCTAATCCACGCTTAAAGCCCACGCGGAATTATTGCGAACGTTCCGGCCATCATGCATCGCGCAAATCATCGAATTGCCCTATAAATTTCCGATAAATTTTTAAAGTTGGTAGTTGGAGTTCGATCAAGCCTCGTTAATATCGTTCGCCTGCCTTTAAATATTCATATCTCCGATGACTTACGGCTCGGCCTGTTACTCAATCTTCTATATGGATGCTAGGAGTTGTTATAAATGCGGCCTTCGTGGTTCTAGATATACCGCTCGATCTGTAGGTATCTGTAAACTATTTTTTTGTGTCTTCTGGATGAAATTAGATGAATTTGTATCTGCTGGCTGGACTGCGAACGATTTAAGTGCGTATGATTAATGATTTTAAACACTATATGCATTAAATTACTCAATCAACTGGACGCGAAAGCAACGCAATATTTCAAGCTGGAATCGAAACTACCTGCGGGCGTGTTTTATCATGTTTTTTCGAAATTCCGACGGCCTTCGAGACGCGCGTGAAATTAACATTTGAACAGAAGTTCGCCTGACGCGTAGGTAGACGTTAATAATTTCGCGTTTATTACTATTTTTATTATTTTTTTCGAAGCTAAATAGTTACCGTACTACACCCGGAGCGCTTCTGATCCTCGTACAAGAGATATTATCGTCGTAACTAACGATTTGCGCCGGGGAAAAAATTAAAATATCGAGACGTTTTCGATATTAAATTGAGTTATTTAACGCGCGTGTATGAAGAAATTAGGCGTGTTGAATTTTCTTGGAAGTGTTGGTATACTCGTTTTTTGATCGTTAACATCGGATGAAGTTCAATTCAATTTGTCTTCTTTAGAAAACGTTAGAAACGCCGGGAGACAAAAGTAAACATCAGATCCTCGTCGTTTCGCTACATCATCGAAATTATCAATCATCCCGGCCGTTTTCCTAAGCCGCCAAATATCTAACAAACCCGAAATTCCTTTAATTACGGAAAAAACACCCTCCCATTGTCGGTTCGTTTCAATTGAACCTTCCCACAGGACCGTACTCGGCCCGAAGGTTCTCGCATTTCCAATAGACCGTGGCCTTCGAGCAGCGAAAATTTCATTAAAAATTCCGCGGATACGGAACTGGAGGGCGTCGCGTTCCCGAAAAAGGATGTATATATCGTTGTCAGGACTCCCCGGGACGGGGAAACAATGGGGCCCGATCTTAATTTATCACCCGAGCTCACAATCGAAGTCGCCTTAGATTGAACCCAGATACTTGTCATCGGTCTTCTTCTATGTTTCGAATGAAAAGCCGCCCGCAAAGCGCGCTCGAATTTTCCCAAAGAGCTTTTCCCGGAGGATATATTTCGGGAGATTTTCAGGTATATTTCGGGACTGTTGAATCTTTCATGAAACGGGGAGGTTGTGTCGTTGACGATCGATGTTCGAGTGTTTATGGTGAGTTGATATCAGGTTTAAGGGTTTTATTCAAGTAAGGGGACATATAAAACCGTCACGAGGCGAGCTAAGTTTTTATCGTTACTATATAAAACTACCTGTAAGAAAAAGGATAAAAATCTTTAATATCCATTAATTATACTGCATATTTTTATGCAATATGGTCTATGGGTGGAACAAAAACAACTTCCATTAGTCTCATATAAAACGAAAAAGATTTGTGTTTACCCAAATGTAAACAATCAACCAAATAGAATGCTAAGTAAATTTTCCTTTGATTTAAAAAAGTCATTGTTCTGTATGGAGTAAAAAATTAAACGGTAGTTTCATTATTGAATGTCAAAGCGTTCTCTACGTGTGATCCGTGAAATTCGCTGGAAATTTCGTCGTGCCGGTGATAAAGGGAGAGATAAAAGCCAGAATTTCCATTAAGAGAAGTCGTCACGTGTGAGATTAAACCGAAAAATAAAAAGGGAACGTTAAAATTCCCGTCGCATTTTCTCGCCGATCACTTCTAATGACATTTCGCGATCAATTTTATGCGTTAAATCATGCAAAAAGTATCCGAGCTTTTCTATTCAAACAGCCTATAAATAGAACAAATTTCAGCCAACTAACGAACTAATATTTCTTCAAAAATAACGATCTCGAATCGGTTTATCTCTAAACATTCAATCGGAGGTAAATCCCGACCGCAAATCCTTCGGCTAATGGCTGATAGAAAAAACCACGAAGATACTGATGGACTGGGCGCACGCCACCCGGCTCGCCGGCGATTCTTATCATCGCTCGCGCAAACTGTTATTTCAACATGGGAAACATCAACGTTTTCGTATCGCATCGGGCCCGGATGGCCGCCGAGAGGCAATCCATTCGAACGCCACTACTGCTTCTCCACTTTTAATTGCCGCGTATATCACCGCGGTCGATGCAAGTACACCTATACTCACGCACCTATAATAATGGTAGACGAGTCGTCTGAGTAGAATTATGGTTTTTTGTAATGGTTTGTTTGGTGGAATTATTGATTGATCTCCTTTTGGATGGTCCACGATTGGCTTGAAGTATCTTTAATTTGTCTACATTTGGATTGTTTTCTCCTTCTACATTTGACTTGAGCTATCTCTGGATAGCACATTTGGTTTCAATTCATTCTCTATGATCCATTTGGTTGACTCAATGCAAATAATTAAGAATGAAATTAACAAAACCACAATACTTATAATTTCATTAATATCTTCACCGAAACTATTCGAACAACAACAACAACAATAATAATAATGAATATAAGCATCGGAATGATCCGAAAATCGGTGGCAGAAACAAAAACTGTCGGGTTATATTCATAACAGTCGGGAATTATTCATATATTGTTGCTCGTTCTTGCGATATGCTGGCGGTTCTGATGAATACACTGCGAATATATGAATATTTAATGGCGGTGGTTCTACGGCACAGGAAGTCGCCCGAGGATCTAATATAAATATAAATACATCTGAAGTGGTCACACTCTTGTTCGTCGAAATTAACGAGCGCGTTATACATTCGCGTTTTACGGTCGGCTTTAGCTCAAAGCTGGATTTCTAAGCGCGGGTAGCAAGCAAGGAACATCGGCTTTCATTGCTCTATTTACGATAGATCAACTTTATTGTGTTGTAGTTAATTTTGCGCGTTTGCTCGCATATTCACGCACGAATTTATTCGTTATGACATTTTTATTGTACGAGGAGTAGAATAATATAGTTGCAGTGCTAATTGAAACTCGGTCGGAAAAATATACGCCAGGTGTTGCAATTTGTGTTTTTAATTAGGGTCAATTTTCGAAACTTCATAAATTCTTGCATTATCGAACATCAAAAGAAGGCACCGTGAGGCTAATAGAGACGAATTACGGGAATTAAAATAAATGCCGTGCCGCAGGAGAGGCCTTGAAATATTAAAAGGCTCTTATTTAGTGCGTTGGACCGTCGAAAATTATAGAGCGCAGATCGAAAAAACAGGTCCGGAATGTTCGGAAAAAATTCCTAATTTACCCAGAGGTAATTTACTTTGGAGCGAATCTAATTTTTGTGGTAGAAATTTATAAATTCATTAACTTGTTGGTTACATTCAGGAATAAATCGCTGCGTTTTATAACGGAGTTTCCGAGCTTTCCACCATGATGTTTTGCATGAGCTGTCATGACAATGTTAACAATTTAATCGCCTTAACGTTAGAGGAATCTACTTTATCGACAGTAGAGAATCTCAACGTGCGCGCGAATTGTAACATTCAGGAAAGGCTCAGTGGCAGGAATTAAAGTTAAATACACATAATGCGTACAATACATTTTCAATTTTAGGTGAATATGCGCTAGAATTATTCGCGGGTTGCTTGAATAGTTTCGTTTTAAGTAGTTTAGAGTTTTTTTTGAAAAAAGCACGCTTCTGGTGAGTAATCTGAACTACTCCGCGTTCGAATTTCGCTATTTATAATGCGCAGAAAGGCGTTTCGAATGCAACATTCATGAACGTTCGACTGAAGATTAGATCTTGAATATCATCAGCGCAAAACTATAGCGGTGTCGTTTTCTATCTATTAAATCGGATTTTCTTTTACTAAGTGTACGCGTTGAATTGATCGCATGAGCTGCTTTCAACGAGACTCAGTCTGAACTGGGAGAAAGCACTTCTAGCAGTACTCCAGCAAATGCATAATGGAGTTGCTGCTTTCCTAAATTTGCTAAAAAAATTAGCCATATCTTCCACATCTTCCACATCTTCCACATCTTCCACATCTTCCACATCTTCCACATCTTCCACATTTTCCACATTTTCCACATTTTCCACATCTTCCACATCTTCCACATCTTCCACATCATTCACATCTTCTTCAACAACTTCAGTTCCTCAGATATCAATATTTTGAATAATTTTGTCATCTTCATAACTGTTAAAAATTTTTACCCATATTTTTAATGTTTTAATCACCATTAGAGGGAGCTCGTTTAATGACCGAAAAATCTCGACCCTCTCGGTACGAGCAGTTATTTGCTCTTTCGTGTAGTAGTGTGACATTTCTTGATTAAATTTGCTAAAGCTAGACAAACGAACGGGGCTTTTATTACCTATAAAGCAAATTATAGCGTCGGCTCGCCTGTAATAATAACAACACTGAGGGGGTTGGGGTTTCGGGCACCCCTTTCTGACATGGCCGGAGTGGAATTCGAAATTATAGGTTACAGGTACACGGTGAAATCGGATAAAATCAGAATTCGGACGTACTATTGGGAATCGAGGACGGTTTAATGGGCTAAATATGCTTCCATTTACCGCAAATAGACGTTTATTGCCTAATACTGGATTATGTAGAGGGAAATTAGTTGTTAGGGGTGTGTTGCTTTACTGCTTTACTGCAAAAATGATTAGTCGAGATCGTTTTCTGATTGATATCGTTCCTATTAAAGCTAAATAGGATTTTTTTTTTTAAATTGTATTTTATCGAATAATCGAAGAACGTGACCGGGCAATTGTTGGCGTTGACTGGGCGTGAGGTGAATTAAACACTTTTTGAAATAATAATACACGAACGCACACGCTAATTGGTGGAACAACAACCGACTGTCCCCTGGACGCGTTTTAGAGCTTTTTAATTAATGCTTTTTCCATCGGCTCTTTCTGGCGTGCCCGCAGCGCAACCTATTTAAACTGGAGATGAATCAAATTATTCAATTATTTGCTCTCTTAATTAACATCTTCGCTCGATGAAACTTCGCGACCTGTTTCATTGTTTGTTATATGGTTAAAAAACATACAAAGCAGTTTTAGCATGCAAAAAATACCGATTGAAACATTGAAACTAGTAGAAATGTGAGCAACATTTGAATCGAACAGACCGGTGGGAACGGTGATTTGTTTCAGTTATGAAATGACCAATAAATCTGCTAACGTGCTCTCGAAATTAGATACCTAATACTTCATTGTTGCTACCAATTTAACGATTCCGGCTTGTTAGTAGACATAAAAATTCCCACGTAAATCCATTTAGCCTCTCGGCGCGGTTTTTAAGAGTGAAAAATCGAGTACCGGCCGTCAGAATTACCTAAAACCCGTCATTAATATTAATCAACATTCATAATCGCAATCAAAAGTTCGAAGACTATGTTAAATAGGCCTATAAAAGTACACAACGTGTACTATAAAAAAGAATCCGAATGAAAAAAAACCGGTTTTTTTTCGGTGAAAATGAGCGTAGGTTTAGTATTTTGTAATTAATTTAATAACACGGGACTATTTTATGCATAGTCATTAAATGCTTTAGATAAAAACTATACCGGTGGAGTCGACATTGCCGGCTAAATTACAGGTTGAAGGTATAATGAAGAAACAAATCAGGACCGGATTTTTCACAAAACATTATTCTCCCTACATTTTATTCTACTCCCCATAGTGTCGGCTCTCTATTTCGTTAAAAATTGTGTTATTAAGTGGATTCTAGAGAGTCGATTTTCTCTGCAAGATTTAGCACTTGGTAAAAGTTCGAAATAAACAATAAGAAGTCGAAAAAAAATCGTGTATTATCTCGACGACCACGCACGCACATACCTCAATCTTTTCTAATTATAATTCCCCGGCATTCGTGCGCCCATTCCGCGCATTTTTCAATTTCGCATTCGAAATTGCCGTTGTATGTAATATTTCAAAATAATGCACCTACCATTATTGATGCTCTTCCCAACGCTAATAATCCCGCACGCCATGCGAATGCATACGATTATTTTATAGCGAATGGCAATTCGTCTTTGGATGCCTGCGATATAAAAGATCCGATGGATTCGATGGAATTATTCGCGTTCGTCTATTAGATGTTTCGTAGAAGAAAACATTTTCCCGTTTTCCCCGGTTCTAAACGAGCCGGATTTTCGCGCTCCAGTGAACTAGAAAACATTTTTAATATTATCCCGGCGAAAAATTCGTCCATAAATTGCCGCTATCTGAACGCGAAAATCAGCAAAACAAACCCGTGTCGTTAGCGTTAGCGTATTTTTCGCTGTCGCCTGGTATTTTTTTAAAGAGGTGAAAATTTCGGGCGTTATTAAATTAGGAACGGCCTCCCCCCAGATGGGCCCCCTCCGCCTCGCTGTAGTCCATAAAAAGCACTTATCTCTTTCTGGGAGAATGGCTACAAAAGTCGTTATGTGGAGTCTCTAATTGAACATTTTCACTTGTTATCCATTCATCTTTACCAGACAACTGGGCCCGAATCCATTTTCAAAACTACCTGACTTCCAGCGGCGCACCTTCCCTTTTTTTTACACCGTAAAATCGCGATAATATATAATTTTATTTTAATCATTTAAAATTAACTAATATCTCCAATACACTAAATTGTAATTTAATAAAATTTGTATACAGAAACAAATAATTATTTGTTTATTTTTGTGAGCTACGTCCCTGTAATCTCTACGCTGGGGCATTTTATCTTGTCGCCTAAAAATAAGGGTGGCCCCCCTGGGTGCATAGGAAACCGGCATTTTAGATACACGTACCCGGAATTTTTTCTAAGCTTTTATGAAGACAGTTTGAAAAATTAGTTTTTTTTGTTTCTGATCCTTTTTAGAGGCCTCCTAAATTACGAGCGTCGAAATTCGCAGGTAAAAAGAACGCGGTCGGGTCCTAAAACAATATTTACCGAAAATAATTTTTCCTCTGAACAGGTCTCCTTTTGATGTATGTAATAGATTAGAAAGGTTGAAAAATCGTTTCAGCTACAACAAATTCAGGGGATGTCCCGATAAATTGTCAATGTTACCACAAATTCCACCGCACTCCTAATATTTATTACATATCCAAAAATTTATTTCATACATACAATCACGCGTCACTGGTAAAATAAAGGGGAATAATAATCAAATAAAACATGCGGTAGGTAGAAACATCGCAATTTACATACGCTAACCGCCCGGTTATTTATTTAAAATGGGTCAGGTATACATTAAATGCGGATAAAATGTTGCATATGAAGCGGAATTTCGAAAACTCCGCGCGATTATTGACATTTATAAACTCGAAAATCTATACCGTTCATCTCGATTCGTATTAATTAAGTGATAAATCAATCAAAAACAACCGTCCGTCGAAATTAATTCGTTCATAATTTTAGTTTAATTCACTCCCATGCAGTTTCATTTGTTAATATGTTTCATTAATAGAAATCGAGAGAGACTCGTTTAAATGATGAGCATTATTTAGAGTGAACAAGTGTTGAAAGATGTGATTGATACAATAAAAAAAATGATTGGAGTCCAAATAACTCTATTTATTGGAGAGTGGACGCTAAACTAATTAGATTCTGATGGGAGAAGAAGAAGCTTACAATTAATAAAAGAGTCGTAGATACACGAAAGTAGAATTGCAAATAGTTACCGGAGGATATTTAGTTTCATAACGAGCTCTATTCTTTGAATTTATATCTGTAATATAGAGTTACAAGTTGGCAATTTGCAAAAAAGGTTGTTAAATTGGAACATCTGCGCCTCGTCACCATCGGGAGTCATCATTAGGAAGGGCGTCCAATTTACGTAAGTGCCGAACGAGGAAGATAACGATTTCGGTAACGTCTCCAACTTTCAATTATGCTCCTGAAGCAAGAGAAGCATTTTTCTCCCCGCGCAAGAAAAATTTATTTTTTTAACGTATACCTACTTCGAAAATTTTTCGAGCCCACTTTCGAGTTTTATAACCCTTAAATTGCAATTTTCTCAACGCGGAGAAATATTTTTATACATTAAATTGTAGATAAAAACGTGGACCCTCCGGAGCGGGCATTAAACAAAAATTCCTTACGATAAATCAACCCGCCCGTATACGGGTATAAATACTTTAATTTATTCACAATTCCGATAAAAAAACGAACAATGTGTAATTTACAATTCCATTAAATAATTTTAATATGCAAATTCGGAATTAATAAACGGTTTTTAAGCGATCACAATGCTTATTTAGAATAATAAACATGTCATTATCAGAACTCTATCATTAACTCCCCAACGAAATAAAAGTTAATAAATAAATAAAAAAAATGTTATATGTGATCGACCTTTCAATTATGCTCGAGAATAGATTCTACTCAGGATCGGACTCTATATCATAATTAACTATAATTAATAATTAGTAATTACATAACATGTGGTGAATATATTAAATAAATAAGCATGCAAACACATGCAAGAAAGCCTGCGTAAAATGGTAATTTTAATCATATAAAGGGTTATATTTTTTAATAATTATTTTACTATTTCCATTTTAATTTAATAGGTAGATAAACTATTTACGAGGTAATTTGTAATGAAATGAACAAGAGTCGAACCTGGCTTAAGAGCTGATGCGTTAATTGAATAGTATTTAACGATTTTATTTAATAATTATGCGCCGTTTCTAAGATTTATGGTGTTTTCCATTTTGCTTTATCGCTGGGAATTGTTATTTGGAATTTATTAATAATAAATTATAATTGTAAGCAAACGATCGAAGCTAAAGTTGCATTAATATTTTTAACGAATCTACTTTTAGAAATCCACATTTTTAGTGTTTTAAATTGTGGATTTTTCATTACATGGCGAAAAATTATTGATTATTTAATTGAATTTAAAAAATATCGTTTGTCTATTTTTATATCTCGGCAGTCTCACGGGGTTATCGCGCTGTTTCTTTCTTTATGACCCAATTATCTCGGGACACTACTTTTAGTTATCTTCGATTCGTTTTATCGCTTTTTTATTTCAGTAGACAAATTAAGGAGTGTTGTACTAGTCGTTTATTACACGAAATCCCGGTCTTTTACAATCGCTCGCTTTCGAATTACCCCCGTATACGCGCAATTATTTATTTATTTATTCAAATAATACACGACAACGCGGCTCGGGCGCTTCACATTTCACCGATAAAAAACATTTTCGATGCGATGCATCG